TTTTTTTTTTCCAAGGTTCAAAACTTGTTGGCCGTAATTCCCAAATAGAACCCCAAATTTCGCAAAAGCGAACAACATTACAACAAGTGACAAGTCCGAGGTCATAAATCATAACATTCACACAGTAAAGTATGTTGATACTTGATACAAGAGATTGAACAACAAAAAACCACCAATAATTAGGGCAAAAAGCAAAATATTGGTACCCTGTAAAATTTAATAATCTCATCTACCGATCATCCTTTATCTCCCTTTCCAACAATTCTTGAAACAAATCATTCAGGCCATCAATCGGGCCGGGCAGACACCAATGCACACAGTCATTCACCAGCACCAATTTCGCCCCGGGCCAGTGCCCATACCTACTCGGGTGCCCATCGGGCCTCAACATCATGGGTCGGGTCGCATCAAACAGCCTAAACCTCTCCCCATTCCCCTTCACCGCCCTCCGAGCAATCCCGAGCTCCTCCAGCTGTATCTCATACATCTCCTTAAACCGATCCTCGAGACCCGTGCCATTGTTCCTCCCGAACGGCGCAGTCCGCTTGCAGTCCCCGCCTCCGTTCCACGTGCCGCCCTCAAAATGCGACGGGGCGAACGTGCGGAGGAACACAACCCCTCGGAAACTGGAGACCAAGTTGATGGCCCGGAAAGCCGTTCGGAAGGCGAGGCGGTAGCTGAAGGTAGGCGGCAGGCGGGTGGTGGGGTTTTGTTCGGGGCAGTAGAGGCAGCCGACCAGGTGGCGGCTGAGGTGGAAGTAAGTCGGCCGGAAAAACCAGTGCTCGGCTGAGAGGAGGACGTAGTCGAAGGGGGCGATTGCCTCCGGCCAGTGAGGGTCGGGCTCGTCGAGGTACAAGTTGAAGGGCTCAGTTTGGAGCTGGTCAGTTCGGACGAGGTACGGGGACCAGAACATGGATATGGAGAAGTTGTACTTTCGGTACTCGTATCGCTTGTTCTGTTCGCTCGGGTTGGACAGCTCGACTGGATGTGTAACCTATGAAAGTCAAAAATAATTTTTTTCTTTTTGGTTAGTTAATAAAGATTGAAGCTTTAAGAGAATAGATGTTGGCTTTTTTTTTTTTTTGGTGAGAACGATAGGAAATTTATAACTAGAACACATATTTACATCTAAATATAGAACTCAGTCAAAAGGCGAATCTAGCGAGAGGACACCCCGAAGAATAGATGTTGGTCAATGTATACATATCTCCATATTTTTTGAAGATTTATGCTTCAAGATGCAATTAAAGGAGCATTTTATCTACATGTTTTGATGACCTTGATTTTCAATTTCCAACGTATTGTGTCATCCCAAAACCTCAACGTTACTCTTGCAAAAACGAACCTACAATAACCATAAGGGTGTGATCTATATAATTAAAGATAACATATTCGGTCTCATTTGAAAGTTTTCTAAGAAAGCACATTATTCATTTTTATCTCATTTATTCCCACATCAATTATCTCAAGATATTTCTCAAACTCTTACAAAAATCAATGACACCATATCAATCAAACCCTTAGACCTTACAACTCTAATTATTCATAGAGCATATATATTTCACACTTATTTTAACCAACAGTACACTTACAATATTTTATTCAAATTTCTTCTCAAAAAGTAAATCTTAATGACCCAAATTATTTTTTAAGTCATTGAAGTTGGAGTTGGAGTTGGAGTTGACTGTTGAAGGAAAGAGTCTTGAGAAGCAGTTTTTTTTTGGGTGAGAGGGGGGGAGGACATTCAATAGTGTACAAAATGAGATAGAGGTGTAATAATGAAAATATATTAGTATAAGGGTATAAGTTATCTTCTTTTTTTTTTCCTTCTTTTTCATTCAAACAAAGGATCACCATTTTCCTCCATTCCCTTCCTCGACAAATTGTACTAGTGACCATATTAACGCTAGTGATAATATCGATCATAATTCGTAACCAAATGAGATTAAATAACAATAAAGGACATAAATTATTCACCATGGACGACGTATTAAAATGCGTTCACCAATCTCATGATCTTTCAAACATATATACCCACGGTGTATGGTACATGTTCATTTCCTACCATATCTATCAATTGGTGGCATATTAATCTTGATTATTTTTCTTCCCCTCTTTTCTTTTCTTTCTTAGTCAAAGAAAGAAGGAAAATTTACTATATTTCCCTACAAGAAATTTTTCACTAAACCAAAAAGAAAGTAAAATTATTATTTTACATCTCATTATCTCCATTTCATTTCCTTTGATTGGTATCCATTCCTTTGGAACAAAAACAAACATAAGCTCCCTTTCAAACCCTAAAACTCTCCAAATCCCCTCAACCCCAATAGAGATGGCTTCAAGAGTTCCTCCTGTCTGTTTCAACACACCAAAATTAGATATCTTTTGTTCTTTCTCTCACCTTGATTCATTTTAAAATTTTGATTATTACATTCCAACCATATGTTTATGCCAAAAACCTACATTTACTATCACACTTATAGCAACACCAAACAGATCCCCACCATTATTGCCCATCTTAACCTCAGCACCTTATCACCTACAGTACTCTACAGAGTGAGATCTTTTAATTTTTCTTGTTCTACATTAGCAACAATAGAAAATAAACATGATAGTTTCTATTAACACAATAAATGCTCCACACTTCCCAACCATGGGCCTATGCCTTAACAAAAGAGGTTTAGTGCACAAAATCTCTTCTCCCCATAACAATTTATCCCAAATTAAATCCAAAAAAAAAAAACAAAATCAATTCCCTAAATCCTCAGTTTATACCTAAATCTAAATTTGTAAATAAAAAATAAAAATAAAAATAAGAATACATACCCTGGACAAGAGGCAGATCAAGGACTGCATATGATTCCTAGCCACCGAGTCCCCAACAAACGCCAGCGACTTCCCCTTCATAAGCTCCAGAAACCGGTTCGGGTCGAAACCCGGCAGCTCGCACCCATCGGGCTTCCACCTCCATTTCATGAACTCCGTGTCGGGCCGCCCGAACTTCATACAGTTCTGGTGCTCCTGGATCGCGTAGCAGGTCTCGTTCGTGTAGTAAGGAGCCTTGGGATCCGGGACCCACTCGCCGTTGAAGAGGTCGCATTTCAGGTCCTGCGCTTTGGATCGGATCTTCGACTCGCTGTGTGATGGCGTTGCCGCCGGTGCTTTTTCGGGGAGTTTTTTGGAGGAATTTGCGAAGAAGGAGAAGTAGAGAGGGATGGTTAGGAGTAAGGTTATGGCTGCGATTGTTGCCAATTTGGGTTTTTTTGGTCTTGATTCAGATGGGTGGAGCTTCATTGTGTATGTGTTTCTATGGCGGAAAAAGGGTTAGAGAGAGAAAGAGGAGAAATTTTGAAGCTGCAAAAGGAAAGGCTGTTTGTCGGGGTTGTGTGTGTGTGTGTGTGTGTGTGTGTGCAGTGACAGCTCATGGACACAAGTTAGACGAATGGGTATTTTTTTAGTCGGGGGAAAATTTCACTTTTGGTACCTAAAGTTTACCTACTTTTCAGTTTTGATACCCGTGGTTTTAACTTAATCAATTGTAGTCACTAACGTATTCAAAATCCATCATTATTGCCCAAATCGTCAGTTGACCGTGAGTCAACTGACCACCACCTTCTCTAGCAGGTTGCTTTCCCCAAAGAAACCTAAATAATCGGTTTCCCCTAATTTTTCCAATCGAGCAGACCTAATTGCTGTGAAAAAACCCTAACATTTTACCCTTAGAAAAATTTCTTTCATTTATCGCATTCAAGTGGGCAATCGACTGGTGTATTGTGAGCTTCCATTTCAGATTTGCGACGAGCATCTTCTGATTTCCGGATCAAACCATATAAAAAATCCGCAAAAACCAAAGTTCTGCAATTTTTTTTTTTTTTACAAATTCTTCTTAATTTACATTAGGCGCAAATTAAAACTAAAATGAAAACAAAAACAAAATAATTAATTACCCCATATTTAGGGCATGCCCAATATCTTCTTCCCGGATTATTTCGAGTCCAAGAGGTCTTCAAGTATACTTTATCTCCACAATTGCAGGTCATCTCCATTGGAGCACCATTAATCTCGGAGTTCCAGCGAGAGTTCCAGCTTCCTCTTGAACTGCTCATCTTCAAATTCTTTTTTTTCCCCTCACTTTCGGCGGCTTTGTGGTGCTGTAATGGAGATGCCCGCCATTTTCTATCACTTGCAGAAGAAGATGACCTGCTAGAGAAGGTGGTGGTCAGTTGACTCACGGTCAACTGACGATTTGGACAATAATGATGGATTTTGAATACGTTAGTGACTACAATTGATTAAGTTAAAACCACGGGTATCAAAACTGAAAATTAGGTAAACTTTAGGTACCAAAAGTGAAATTTTCCCTTTTAGTCGGCAAATAATGTGATTATTTTGATTTTATTTTAACTTTTATTAATGAATTATTGTGCATCACCGACTCAATTTAAATTCACCCGTTAACGTATAATCCCAGTAAATAAGTCGAGTCCAACTGACAAAGGAGCTTGAGTTTGTGTCAAAATAGAGAATTAAACAAATCGAGTCCAACTCATAAAGAGATTTAATTCTTCAACTTGTTTATATGAAAAAGATTAGAAAATTATGTAAAAATTTATATTTATCAAGCCTAATGATTAGTCTAGTCGAGCTCATCTCGTTAGTTAAGCGAGACTTTACGAGCCGAGCCGATCCGAACTCATCTCGTTAATGTTTACTATCAACACTGCTAGATTCGAGTTTTTAATTCGTAATTATTATTGTTCTCGTTTTGTTAGTAGTAAACTAAGGGTCGTGCATTTTTAAAGTAACATGAGCATAAGTTAAATGGTCCGATCTTACGCGTTCGTTGCTTAGACTAATCTATTTTCCTCGTAATTAATGCTGCTCGTGCACTAAATCTAGAGAGATTATTCTAGGGACACATTAGTTAGGTTTAGTCGAAGAACTTCTTTCGATAAAATAATTGGTAAGAGAAAATTCGATTAACAATGCTTATTGTTGTTAGCTATGGTTGGTAATTCGTTAGCAACTTAAAGAAGACGTCAAAATTAATTAATGGTAGATTTAGATTGGATGATAACTGAACCGAAAACTGAGCTTCTCTTATTTTATTTTATTTTTATGTTTCTATAAAACCAATTCGGCCCCCTTTTTTATCGCTTTCTTAGTTTCAATTCGATTAATATGAGAATATCACAACTTAATTCCTGCTCCTCGTTGGATTGACCCTTACTCGCCGCTATTATTAGTTAGTAGAGATTAGTTGAAAAAAACTTTATGAATTTAAATTTTCCACGTCGCGACGCGCGGTCACTCAATTACCATCTAGTAAGAAAATTGCTCGTGTTGTGTCAACTACCATCTTTAACAAAATTTTTGCCCATTTTGATCAAACTAGTATTAGATCTTGTCCACATGTACTGATGTTTAAATTATTATAAGTTTTATGTGCGTAAATAATATTAAAATTATAAGTTAGATAATAATATAACATTTTTATGTCGTTATAAAATGAATATTATAAAAGTATTCAGCTTCATCACTATATTGACCCAAACTGAAATTGATAATATTTTTAAAAATTTGAGAGATCCTAACATATTACATATCTTAAAAATTATTATTATTATTATTATTATTATTATTATTATTATTATTATTATTATTATTATTATAGATCGGCTCAGAATAATTACAAGAAATTGGAGGGGAGCCGAGATACTATCTGGGCCCCCACTACTTTTGCAATGGAAAAGCTAATACGAGTGAAAATATGAGGAGCAGCACGCGCCCCCACATCCTGAGATACAGAATACTTCTGTATCCTCTTGTGTAGGGCAATGGCCTCCGTGTGCAACTCCCCTAATGAAGAGAAAGAGAATGGAAGAAATCCATAACCCTTATTATTATTATTAAAGTTTTAAGAGGTCTAGTATTATACCACCAAAGCCAGTTAGCTTACTAGAAAAATGCTTAAGAGAATAGTTTAATAAAAAAATTTGCTATAAAATTTATTATACTTATTGAAGTTTCATATACCATTTAGTGTGTATTATAAATGATTAGTTTTAGTAATGACTATAACCATTGATTAAGTTTTATATATCCCTTTGAAAAAAATATTGGATTGCAATGGAAAAGGGTGGAAAATTCCAATAGTTTGGTAAATTTTTTTATTAGCAATTTTATATATTTAGATCAAATATTCATTGGTTAGTGAGTTGTCTAAGGCTTAATTAAAAATATTGCAAAATAAACATGCTTTTGTCACATCTTTTAGAAGAAAAATAAATGATTTTTTATTAATCGCTTTGCTAGCAATTATATATATAGATAAGACGATATAAAAAGTCTTGATCAGATTCCTTTATTCCATAACTCACTTGAAATTCTACATAATCTTTCAAGTTAAAACCATTGCATGATGACTTTTTTAGCAGACATTATGGGTGTGAAATGATACAAACTCAATGTCCACCTATAATGTCAATCAATAATTAACAAAATGTAAAAAGTCTTGATCAAATATCCTTTATGACGTTATTCACCTTAAATTATGCATATATTTCAAGTTAAAAGTCTATGCACAACGGATTTTATTAGCACACACTGAAATGACACAAAACTCAATAAATATGGCCCATTTTGTAGGATAGTCAGCACGGCGTTGATATGAAACGTACCCTCTCTAGGATCAATGAGTCGAACAATTCGTTAAGCCTCAAACATAAAAAAAAAAAAAATTGTATAATTTTCGATAGGTCGACTTGAACTCGGCTAAAAAGTATTGATAAGTGAGCCGAGTTAGAGCTCGTTTCTCTACTCATTTGTGTCCTAGAGACAATTTTTTTGAGAACATACATATATGATTACGTTAATATTATATTTGATTATATTATTTATGGCGTCACAATTAATTAAATAATTATTTGTAATTTATTAATTAATTGCTCCACAATACTGTCATTAAAAGAGTGAGATATTAACTGATAAAGTATATCTCTCAAATCGCCTCAATCGATGTTCATTAAGAAAGAGGTATTAATGATACATGATAGAGACATGTGGTCTGGATCATATTCTTGGAGAATATAGTATGTATCACTACTATGAATAATTGTTATTCGTGATAGATACATGAATACTTTGGAGAGTATTGGTATATCCTACCAATAAACCATTTGTTTATGTGTCTATGGGAGTATCGGTACGTTGAATGGTGTAATAGTCCTTTGACTTGAGGTCAATACGCAATTCATATATTGAGTAATTTACTTAGACCTAGTCCAACACTTACGCCATTATGGATAGACACGAGCTTGTGTTGGGTTGATCACGATATACATGGAATTGGTAATTGAGCCAAGATATGATTCATTCCTCGAATATAGTTTACAAGAGAATACTCGTTTTCTCTATAGTGGGTTTAAAGTAATTGACCAATGCACGTGATTTATATTTAAAATGGTGTTCAAATATAATTGATAAAACCAATCAGTAAGATGAGATACAATGATTAAACTATTTGAATAGACACACATTCAAGTCTTAAGCCTAATCGAGTGGTTCGCGAATGAAGGGACCATATCACTTGAGTTCTAAACTAAAGGTTTATTTGCTTTGTCCATGTAAACATACTTCATATTTTGAGTTCGTCCTTCGACGCAGTCTAGAAGTTTCGTAAGGATCATAAATTAGATTTATGTCAATATATGAAGGCCTATAGGGTCATACAATATACAGTCAATTTTCCGACTAAGAGTGAATCCAGAGTGTTAAATTTTTAAATTAGACTGGAATATATTATGAGTAATGAGATTATTTTCTATTTGATGAAAAATATCTAATTAAGTTAAATTAGATTTATACTTAGTTAGCAATGCGATAATTTTCTATTTGATGGAAAATATTTAATAAAGTGAAATTGGATCTATACTTAATTAAATTATTAATTAGATTAGGTCCAATTACCTATTGGGCTATAGGATTTCCTAAGGCTCATATAATTAGGTTTGACCTAATTATAAATAGGTCATATCTCATTCGAAGTCTTCAACGATCATTAGATGAGAGAAGAAGAGAGAAAATGCATCGTACAATAAAACACTTCTAGCTTTCTAGATCGAGGTTTCCTAACTTCTTCACCGGAAAGGATTCATTGGTGTTAGACCGTACGTCGTAAAACTGGATTGCGTGGATACCATAATCGAGGACATAGACGAATAACTATAAGTTTTCGTTAATCATTCACGCGATCTAGGATCATATCGAATAAATAAAGCCAGATCTTCGTTGTTGATAAAAAAAATTAAAATTCCAATACTCGTACCTTGGGTTCGTAGTCGAAAATCCAAGTTTCAAGTTAAAAAA